AAGATTTGAGTGTCTGTTTGTGAATACATATAAACATGTTAATAAAAGCTATAAATTGCGTATTACGTTTTTATTAATCAATCACTAAAGCTTACTTTACATGTAATATTAGTAATATTATAGTTAAATATAATGTTAACTTAGATTAACTATAAATTATTATTTTATGCTTACTAGTTCATCCCAACACTGTGTTATTGTAATCAATTGTTTTTTTAAAGATACATATTTTTTCATTAACGCGATCCATTTAATAGTTATCATAAAAATGTGTGCGTTACTTTCGAGTGTGTTCGAGATTTTTGAAAAATAGAGTCTAATAATATGGGACGTCTATAAAATTTATAATTTTTATAATGTGCAGTGTTACAATATATAGTTATTTTTACTGTAAAACAAATATAATTTTTTTAGTAATACCATACAGAAGAAAGTAACTTTTCACAGATAGGTAATGGTTTAAATATCTAGGCATTTCTTTTAAATTTATTCTTCACAAATTACGGTGAGATGCTTTATTGAAATTTTATAAATTAGATAGGCAAATACCTTCTATAATAAGTAATAGTCATTGTGTTTTAAAAATAAAAAACACTAATATACAATGAACTAACTCAAGGGATGACAGAAACTATTTAAAAAGAGATATACACATAATATTGTTATTGACCAATGTAGTCGTTACATGTATTTCTTTGTATTTATTTCTATAAATTTATAGAAAAAGAAATAATCTTTATTCAAATAATACCTAAGCACTTTTGAACAGTAATACTTTTGAATAGTCATGTTTTTTATTATCTTTATTCAAATAAACTTAATAGGTATACCTAAGCACTTTGGAATAGTCATGTTTTTTATTATACCACTCTGGATTCATTCGGAATCTACCTATAAGAAGAATTACTTTTGAAAAGCAATGTTTTTTTATTCTACCACTAATTCGGAACGCAGACACATTACAAGAAGTCTGAGCAACAAACTTGCATGTTGCTCTTTTAAATTAATGTTGTTATAACTAAATACACATTAACAAGAATTAGGCACATATACTTATATATTAATAATAATAATAAATTAATAATAATTAATACCTCAGCGTAACACAGTACAAAAAAAAGTCGCTGCCCGCATCTGAACGTTTCTTTACTTCTACTCCTAAACCAGATAAAAATGAAAACGAGTTTAAATTACAGATTTAGATATTCCTAATATATAATATTTAGGGATATTGTAATATTATATATAGAGTCATAATTTTGTCTGAATATCCAGCTATCGATTGTATAAAAAAATCACAAACGTGGTAAAAATATTTTAATTAGAAATATTATAAAACATATGTATGACATAATATACTAGCATTATAGTATACTAAATATATTATATCAAAATATAAAGTCATATAATATGAACTTCATCGAACTTATTTCTCACTACCAGACCCGCGAAAATCCGTCTGTGTTTGATGTCCCGACATTTTGCAATATTTTTCATTGCAGTTCCGCTCCTATTGCTCGTAGCGTAATATTATACAGCTTAAAACTTTCATAGATAAATGGATTATCCAACACAAAAAGATTTTTTCAATTCGAACCATTAGTTCCTGAGATTAGCGTGTTCAAACAAGCTCAGCTATATAATATTAGTAGATTTGAAAACGATTCCTCTGAAATAAATTGAAAATAGAATTAGTAAGAAAAAAAAAACAATGCAATTCATGATTTCATTATTTTCAGAGAATAACTTTGGAAGGGTTAGGTGAGACCGACAGGGCGTACAAGTGCGTCCCCCGGACATCCGGCGGGGCGGGGTTACTTGGCCGCCATTTTGGAAGCGCGCATGCGCCCTCGGCAGGGTTCAAACATCAATTTCCCATTTCTAAAGTCCTGTCTGTGCTATTGATTGACAAAAGCAGTGTTACATAGAAGTATCAAATCTTATCTTATCCTAATCATTACAAAATAGAAAACAAAGTCGCTGTCGCTGTCTGTCCCTATGTATGTTTAAATCTTTAAAACTACGCAACAAATTTTAAAGCGGTTTAATAGATAGAGCTATTCAAGAGGAAGGTTTATATATGTAATACATGCACACTCGTGCGAAGCCTGGGCGAGTAGCTAGTAGTATTATAAATGCGAAAGTAGGGATGTTTGTTATGCTTTCACGCAAAAACTACTGAACCGATCATCATGAAATTTTGTCCACATGTTCTTGGAGGTATTAGAATGATTCTTTTTATAAAAATATATATATATTTTTGATTCAAATGATTCTTTTTATAAAAATATATATATATTTTTGATTCAAAGCGAGCGAAGCCGCAGGTAAAAGCGTTTATTAGAAATGCGAAAGTACGTGAGTATGGATGTTTGTTACTCTTTCACGCAAAAACTGCTTAACAGATTTTGATGAAACTACAGTAATATAGCATGTACATCAGAATAACACATAGACTAAATCTATTAAGCGGACACAGCTCGTATATATATATATATATATATATACTCGAACAATTAACATAAATAATTAAGTTTCTAAAGATTTAAGGAAATTATAATGGCAAAAACGCTGACGGCATTGTCGCTTATAAACAGAAGAGCACTTGGACAATTTTTACGATGTGATTCCAAATGTGTTGTCATTCCGGAGAAGTAAGATATCACGCTTCTTCTCTTGTAATCTATTTTGCGTGTGAAACCGCGTACACAGCTAGTATATAAGTGCTTAGGATGCTGAAGTGTCATGTGGTTTAATACACGATAAAGACCTGACCTCATGTTCATCTTATCATCCTCCACTGGTGCCCCGCTGGTGTAAACCGATAGCGCAAGCGGGTGCACCATTCCATTATCATCCATAAAAAAAAATATACGATAAAAATACGTTAAGTTAGATTATGTTATGCGAGCGTCGACGTCTATAAATGGTCAAATCATGGAATGGTAAATCTAAGGGTAATTTTTGGTAGATACAAGTATGTATACCTTTGGTACCTACAGGTATGTATGTATATCTAGAGTTCTAGACATAAAAACCTATATAAATACTAGCTATCCCGGCAAACGTTGTTTTGTCATATAAATTCATAACGCCATAAAAAAATAGGGGTTGGTGAGGGGTTTTTTAATGACACATAATAAATAAATATAAATAAAAAATATTGCCCAAAAAATTAAAAGTAATGTTAGGGGTGGACAACTCTTATTACTTAGGGGTAGGTATGGAAAATAGATAGTAGCCGATTCTCAGACCTACTGAATATGCATATAAAATTTCATAAAAATCGGTCAAGCCATTGCAGAGGAGTATGGTAACTAACATTGTGACACGAGAATTTTATATATAAGAAGTATACAATATAAACTAACTACTAAGTAACTATATATAAACTTTAAGGCTTTAAAATAATATAAAAAAAAAAATAAAAAAAATTGTATTCATATATATATATATAAACTTATATAACAATAGTTTTTTTAACACGTGGACAAACAGTAATTAAGTCAACACTATATACCTGAACTCTTTGCAAGTTAATTAATTGTAACCTCATAGTGTATGTCTTATTGGTCGCTTTCAAATAAATAAAAAATATAAAAAAAAAATGAAATACAGTCGAGATTTTTGCCAGTTCTTTTCAATTGATTCTGTATGGTATGCGTTATGTTAGAGATAAAGATAAACTATAAACTATAATGTATATATGTAAAATGGTTGTATATACGGCCTTACGTCGGGGTAGTAAACCACGATGTTTCCAACTAATCCTTTCTAATTCGCAATAAATGAAATGTTTGAGAACAAATCTCAATCTTGTGATGATTTCAAGCAGAACTTACTAACGAGTTTATTTAATTCCCTTTCCAAAACCATCCGTTTCTAGTAGGTACCTACCAGGCTCGCATGAATCGCAAGGTGACAGCATCGACGTAAATCAAACAGCAGCGAACCATCCATCACGCACCGTCGCCCCATCAATCCTGCCGCGCCCGAAATAGAGCGCGCGTGCATACCTGACATGGACGTATTCTCGCCGAGCACACTCGCCATTCGTATAGAGTTGGCATTCCTCATTAACGGCACACATTTATGAGGACCTGGTATTTAGTATCTCAGACCTTCAGACTAAATTAGCAGATTGGGATTAGTAGTTTAATCAACGTAACGGTGTTAACCTTTGACATAATGACTAAAAATATATTATTCAATCAATACAAAACTTTACATTGGTATTAAAAATATATACTTTAATGTCAGTTGTATTGTACTTTTGTGTTACAATTTGACTCGACTCTCGACTCGATAGTTTGCTACTTATTTTTAGTAATAGTTTTGTACAAAATAACCTAACAATTGTATTATATATATAATCTTAAGATTTCGTACGAACCTAAGGAGGGTTGCGAAGAATTGCCTATCAAGGTAGATTTAAATACTAAACATATTTAGTCTATAAAAAATATCTCCTTTTACTTTATAAAACCTGCAGTGTAGGAATTTTTATAAAAAAGTTTCTATTAGGTAATTAAATAAAATATGAAATAAGATTCCATGACAACAATACCTACCAAATATAAAAATAAATCTACTGCTTAAATAGCTAAAAAGATACTCAACTAACTTTTAAAATTTAATCTGGAAGTAATTAATTTAATTATTATCTAATTTAAAGAAGATGCTTAAACGATCTAGCAAAAAAAAAGTCGCTAATAGAACCAAACTTGTAACCGCTACCGAATTAACGAGCGTTGTGCTAACGCAATCATGTAATTACGCACACCTAGCACGGGATACCTACGGTCCCGAGCAGGCGGAGCCAACGACCGATCAATACTTTGTAGTCAGTATACACATACGGTACGAAAATGTAGACGTCCCTTTCGCACGGTACGCAATAGTGTTAAGAGCAAGCGAGATAAAACACGATCCAGCTATTCACCCGAATGCAGAACCATGGGCGTACCATCGCCTTCGACGTCCGGTAATCCGACATGGCTCAGTCGGTAGAGAACCGCGTGCCGCGCGCGTGCGTACATCGCCGCCGTACAATGTCCACCGCGTAGATACCACAAGACACAGCCACCATGCTAGTGCCCCCGGAGATGATGGCGGCACAGTCTAAACTAGTCTACCAGATGAATAAATACTACAACGAACGTGTCGCCAACCGGAAGGCGCAAATTGCTAAGACAATACACGAAGTCTGTAGAATTGTTCAAGATGTCCTCAAAGAGGTTGAACTACAGGAGCCGAGGTTTATTTCTTCGCTCACGGATTACAACGGGCGTTTTGACGGTCTCGAGGTGGTGTCACCACACGAATTTGAAATCGTCATTTATCTAAACCAAATGGGAGTTCTCAATTTTGTCGACGACGGCTCTCTACCCGGATGCGCTGTTCTGAAACTCAGCGATGGCAGGAAACGCTCCATGTCCCTGTGGGTGGAATTCATCACCGCTTCAGGATACCTGTCTGCGAGGAAGATCCGGTCGAGGTTCCAGACTCTAGTCGCCCAGGCTTGTGACAAGTGCTCGTACAGAGATTGTGTGAAAATGATAGCTGAAACGACTGAAGTGAAATTGCGCATACGAGAACGATACATAGTTCAAATAACCCCAGCTTTTAAATGTGCGGGACTCTGGCCTAGATCGGCGGCACACTGGCCTCTACCAGCCATACCATGGCCTCATCCAAATATAGTTGCTGAAGTGAAGACAGAAGGTTTCGACCTACTATCTAAAGAATGTCTCGCATTGCAAGGAAAGAATTCGGCTATGGAAGGTGACGCTTGGGTCTTAAGTTTTTTTGAAGCCGAAAATCGGCTTCTACAGGGCGGATGTCGACGGAAATGTTTGAGTATCTTAAAGACGATTAGAGACCGGCATTTAGATTTACCTGGTAATCCAGTGACCTGTTATCACATGAAGACACTGCTCTTATACGAGTGCGAGAAGCACCCACGAGAGCACGAATGGGATGAGGCTGCAATAGGGGATAGAATTAACGGAATCTTCCTCCAGTTAATATCTTCGCTTCAGTGTCGCAGATGTCCGCATTACTTTTTGCCACACGTGGACTTGTTTAAAGGAAAATCTCCGACGGCATTAGAGAATGCGGCGAAGCAGGTGTGGAGGTTGACGAGGGAAATGTTGACCAATTCCAGGGCTTTTGAAAAGTTGTGAACAGGTCTCCTAGAATTATGTGATTGTTAGAGGTGAAGTGATTTACCGGTAATATTAATATTCGTACTCGAGTCATTTACGTAGATTTAGGGGCAAAGTTGAAGCATTTCTTTGTGTTGGAATCCAATAGGAAACTAGTGACTGAGTTGGTACGCAGAGACCGAGTGTGACAAAGTTACGTATACGCAATTTTGGTTAGTGAATTTGTCAGATATTCCATATGGATCGGACAGACTGTAAGTAGAAGTGATACTACTAATAAATAGGACATTTTCAAATATTATTTTGTGATATATTGTAAATAATTTTATCGTTGTACAATTTTAGTGATATATTTAATTTAAACATCTTGTATTTATTTGACTGAAATCTTATAAAGTAGGAGTATACCTATAATCTATAGTAAAATAAATAATTTCAAATTTAACAAAAGTACCTTTTAATTTAGTTACGAAATCCTAACCTAATGATCCTAATAGAATAAATATTTTCGCGCAAAAACGTCCTATAGTAGGCCTAAATTTTAAAGCAAACTATCTGTATTAACTTAAGACGACTCAAATACTTAAAGACAATTTTACATACTAGTCAACGATCAATACCCAGTCTTGAAATACGCTATATAGATACTAGACACTACTACAAAAAGGAAACATTCAATAAAATAGGAACAAGAAGCGATGCAAACGCCATTTTCAAAACAAGAAAACGAGAAAATACGCTTAATAAAAGTCAAGAGACAGTTGTAAATAATGTAGAATGAACAGTGGAAGGATGGAATATATAGCTAGGAGTTGGCATTCCTAAGGAGTTGAGCACGACCTACGTGTAGCCAGTTGACTGTAGGTATCGAGTTACGTACAACGATATTTTAGGTACGCGTCGTGGGCACACGGCACGGGCATTCTGCGAGCGCCTTTACGACCGGTCTCATGTTCAGCTCGTATAGTGCAACATATTAGCATATTGAGATCGATGAATACAAAATAATTTCCTTCTTTTTGCCAATAAAATATATGTTGTTTTATAATTATATTACAACTGCATTTGTAATTGCGATGTTTTTTGATTTGTCAATAGGGACGTCAGATTAGAGATGTATCAACTCAAGTTACTAACTCAAGTTAACTCGAGTTGAATTCTGCCAACACGAGTTGGAAGAATTCATAAATGAATGAATCAAGTGAACTGACAATGACATGAAATTTTCCGATCATTTCATATTATACAATTTTCACTCGTCAAAAATATTTCAATATTGATTTGAGGTTGTTATCATTTTTTCGCATATTCGCCCGATTATGTTATCAATAAAATAATTCCATAAGTCCTTCCGCGGCTTTAAAGTGCCATTTCTACTCGCCCCTAAAGTTCGGAGAAACTTTCAAGCTAGTAACTGCGCCCAAAAATATTAGAATTGTTCGAAAAAATAAAAGAAAAAAACATTTTGTTCCAGGTAATTCGAGTCTACTCGAGTTATCTGAATTTTAACTCGAGTCATGTTTATTACGAGTTAGCATAATAAAAAAACAAATAAAACTAAAGAACATAACACTAAAAAACAAGCTTCTGCATGAGACTTCGTCCGCGTGACTAACCTATATGAATGCATTACTAACCGAGTTGATAAATGTAATAAACAAAAGGTTCGAAACGTAACAAACGTAAAAACTGACTGTCCTTTACAATATCAGTTAGGATATCCTGATATCAAATAATAAAATACTATAGGGTAATCATCTGTAAGTACACTAAGTTCAAAATGGCAAGTTTTTGAGAAAACTGTCACAAAATCCATTAAATTATTTATAAGTCTAAATTTGTCAAATTCATTCATAATTCGGCCTCGGTGGTCTTGTGGTTTAATACACTGCCTTACTTCCTAAGGTTGCGGGTTCGATTCCTCACACGGCACAAACATTTGTATTCATGAGTATGATTGTTTCTGTCGATCTGTTTTCTATGTATATATATGTATGTATGTATTTATATATATTACATAAAAAAATAGGCGCTAGATAAAAAGTCTGCAAAAAAAACCAAAAAATATTATATATTCAATTTAATTGAAATATAAAAATTACAATTTAACTTATTAACTATTATAGATGCCAATTGGTCGATGTTAGAACCAAGAGTGATTCAACTCCGATAGCGTTCTTTGGTCGATTTCAACATTTCAGTTTTGCTGACTTTTAATATTGAGGCCGCTGCCTATACAGCGTTTTCAATGTTTCATGATTTCGTAACGCGCTGTGTGAATTGTCCTGAGATTATTATTATTATTGTTTATGTATATAGTTTATATATCTCCCTGTGATGGGGTTTTAAACTTGTAATTGCGGGTGAATATCACCAAACAATGACATTTATAAAAGACATAATCATCATGACAAAAATTTGCGGACTATTCTACAGGTGTTTAGAATTACAGCTTTTTGGATGATTAGATTAGATGTATGAAAGTAAGTGGGTGAAGCTGTTATATTTTGAGGCTAGAGTGTAAGGATGTTGGAATGACACCTGTGGACGAGATAATAATTGGGAGAGTTATTATTATTATTATTATAAGGCAAAATTAATGTATAATAATAATAATAATGCCCGCGTGTTTGAATATATTACCCCCGTAAAAAGGGAGATATAATAAATATATATATATATATATATATATATGTAATAATAATAATACTAATAATCTCAGGACAATTCACACAGGATGTTGGAATGACACTTGTGGACGATACAAATAATAATTTTTTTTTTTGGGAGTACATACATATTATTATTATTATTATTGTTATACCATCGGCAAAATTAATGTCAAAAGTAAAGATAGAGAAAACTAAGGTAATGAAATAGATAGATAATGATAATAAGCATGTTACAGTGTGATAGAATATGTATTTTAACAATGTTAACAAAGACATTAATAAACATTAAGTCAATTTCAACAATAGTTTTATAATAAGCGTGTTAAGGTGTGACAGAATACGTATGTATTTTAACAATGTTAACAAAGACATTAATTAATAAACGTAGTTATGACACACCTAGCGCCTTTAATAGCATCTACGCACGAGAAGATCTGATTTGAATGCAATTAACTCAATTGTCTACTTAGAGACGATTATCTTATTAATGATTTAGCAAAAAAGAAATATTAATACTAAACTTTACTACATAGTATAAAACAAAGTCGCTGTAGCTGCCTGTCCGTCCCTATGTATGCTTAAATCTTTAAAACTACGCGACGGATTTTGAAGCGGTTTTTTTTAATAGGCAGATTTATCAAGAGGAAGGTATGTACATACATGTAACACATGTACATCCGTGCGATAATGGGGCGAGTAGCTTGTTAACACTCTTTACAATTCATATGCATGTAGTAAAAAACGGTTATTTCGATATTACAAACAGACACTCCAATTTCATTTATATGTATAGATTATAATATGTCCCTTCTATACTGTTCCAACAAAACGATCTGCATAGTTGTTTACCTATCATAGAAATAAAAACATAATACTGCTCGTATTTTATTATAAATGCGAAAGTTTGTGAGTATGGATGCTTGATTAGTCTTTCACTCAAAAACTACTGAACGAATTTTGATGAAGCTTTACAGTAATATAGCTTATGCATATAAATTCCAATATAAAATATAACCTATGTGTTATAGGCTATATTTTATACTGAAATTTATATATTGAAATGTAACTGGTTGAAACCGCAGGCACTGGATATTAATAGTCAATTACCTAGAGTTTTGCTGTCGAGTGTAGCAGCAAATATAGTCTCACTAAATAACTGAGCAATTACGTCTCATTGAATCAGCCAGTGATCTTGCGCAGTTTATGGACAAATCCAGTAAATACCTCTAAACGAGCCACCGCACCAAATTCGTGTACAATTAAATGGTCGCTATAAACTTGCTATAAACAAGAGCGACTCGGCTGGTCTGTCTCCGGCGAGCATCGAACGGCGCCCACGCACATACCTTTTTACTTCAAATACATATAGTATACGTACCGTCTGTGCAATTGTATTTCATTATTAATTGTAAAAAGACAGACAAAACTTTAGGAATTAAGTCTTCATTAACATTTTAAAGAATTTATTCAAACCAATGCAATATTATAACAAAACCTTGTTAAACGTAAATAACTATGCCGTATTAAAATCATAACGAGAAAGTTTGTGAGTATGGATGAATGTTTGATACTCTTTCATTCAATAACTACTGAACAGATTCGGATGAAACTTTAGAGTCATATAACTTATACACCGGAGACATAGGCTATACATTTCAGGTAGGTGAAAGAATAGGAACAGCTAGTTAGTTTATAAAAAACTATATAAATAACATAATCTGTATTCCGAATGAGTGGTAGAATCAAAATATGACTATTAAAAAGTGCTTGTAATGAGTTTATTTGAATAAAGATTATTTCTATTTCTATTAAAAAATCCCAAATTACTGCGCCCATCTCCCAGTTTATTGCCTGCATATAGATAAGAGATAGAATACATAATAACGATGCGCCTTTTCATCGCGAGTTCATTTAAAATTTTGTGTGAAAAAAATTTGTCACACTTTTCGAGTTGTAAATGTAAACTTACAAGGATTATTTAAAAGAGCAACACACAAGTTTCTTGCTCGTTCTTCTTGTGATGAGACAGCATTCCGATCGAGCGGTAGATAAAAAAATGTTATGACCATTAAAAAGTGCTTAAATGAAGTTTATTTGAATAAATGATTTTCTATTCTATTCTATTACCAAAAGTAAAAGAAATAATTGCACCAATTTGAAGAGTATGCTATCAAACACATAATCATTGAATTATCAAAAGTAGTATAAGACGTGATAACGTGATACATCTACTTAGATCTATGAAATCGTTAGACTTATATTTCAATAAGGGGAATGAACTCACGTCTCATATACAGAATCCGTTAATCCTTACCATTGCACAGTAAAAAAAAACGGACAACACGAAGGTCGGAAAAAACGGACGGAGCCGGAACTTGTAACTCCCTTTATGGCCATTTAGATATGGTGACACGAAATTGGCGTTATATTTACTAAACAAAGTAAAACTCGACAGGACGTTGTGAACTTGTGATACCATTATTGGAAGGCGATACGATAAGCAAAGAACATGTGGGTCACCTTGCGTAGGCTATTAAGGAGTTTTTAAAAGCAATTACTATTACAGCCTAGCTACCTT